GTGGGGGGGGGGGCTGTCGTTATTGTTCCCTTCTTCCGGGAGAGAAGGCTGCAGCACAGAGGGGGCAGCGATGGGACTAGAGTCACACAGCCACCCCTTCCAGTCAGGCTCCCTGTCCCCATCTCTCTCCCTCTGTCTCCCGCCTCCTCCCAACTCCTCTCTGCCTCCCTGCCCTCATCACCCCTCATTTTTCTCCCTCCCTCCCCCGACTTATCCACTCGCACCTTCTAGAGCTTCAGCTCTCCCCAACTCCCTCTGCTGCCTGGACCCTCGGTGCCTTTGCTGCCAGGCCTTCCCTGGGTTCCTGCTCCTGAGGGCACCCTCCTCAAATCACCTCCCTTCCCTGCTTGGCAAAAAGCTACTCAGTCTTCCGGTCTGAGCTTGCTGTCACCTCTCTCCCAAGGCGAGGGGAGATGCCCACCATGGTGGTCTGCCGGAGCCCTGTGTCCGGCACTGGACCGTGAACTGCTCGGGAGCAGGAGGCATCTGCTCCGTGACATTGGACCCACTGTGCTGAAGTCCTCACCCCTGCATACCTGCAGACACACCCCTGCTTAGATAGAGGGTCTTCTTTGGCTGTGTTATGAGATCGTACTGCAGTAGGCTGGGTCCTAACCCTAATTTTTTTCTGAGTGATGTCTTATTTTTAAAAATCAGAGGAGAGGAGGGAAGACAGACATCATGTGAAGACACTTCTACAAATGGCCAAGGAGGCCCAGGCTACAGAAGCAGACAGAGACCAGATGCCCACCTAGGGCAGAGCAAGAGAAAGAGGAGAGCCTCCCCTGCCTGTGCCCTGAATTGGACTCCTCGCCTCCCAGAGAGCCCCTGGGCTTCCCTCCCACTGCAGCTTTAGCTCTGCCCTTCCCACGTGGCTTCCAGAAACATCCATGTCCTGGATGGCTCCTTTCAAATGTCAGCTGCCCACAAAGTCTTTCCAGGTCACCCGTCATCGCCCAACAATCTGAATCCCCCATCCATACCAGGTCACGACTCTGGAGAGACAGGCTCGCCCCAGGTGCGGGCAGGTGCAGTCCAGGCAGAGCTGCCTGGGATTCAGCCAGGTGGCGGTGGTGATTCCGGGCTGTGGAGCTCAGACCAGCTATGTGCCCTAGGTGAGCCTTTCACCCCGAGAATGCCCTCCCTGGCCCTTTCTTCCTCTCTGTGGAATAAGAACCATGGGCGGAATCCAGCTGCTGTCTTGTCCACCCTGACTCGGGGCACGCCCCCCCCCCCCCCCGCCAGTGTCTGCACAGGAGCGTGCACCCTGGAGTCTTCTGTGGCTGGATTTTAAATCACAGCTCACCAGGCCTTTCTTCTGAGGCACTGTGAGGTGGACTTGAACCTGCCAGCTTTTGGCTTAGCAGCTGGGTGCATCAGCCATTGTCACGACCCAGGGCTTCTGTGGCCATTCCCAGAAAACCAAGCTCACTGCCATTGATTCAACTCCGACTCACTCACGGCGACCCTACAGAACAGGTTAGAACTGTCTCTGTGGGTTTCCAAGACTGCAACTCGACAGGAATAGATAGCCTCATCGTTTTCCCGAGGAGTGGCTGATGGTTTCGAACTGCTGACCTTGCAACAAATAACAACTATGCTACCATTTTAGAGAGGGAACAGTCAGTAGTGGTTCCAAGATCACACAGCTGAGAGGTGACCATGCTGGTGTTGAAAGTAAGGTCTCTCCGATGCTATGGCCTGTGTCCTGGCTCAGGGAACCCCTGGAAAGAAGCAGGAAGCTCATTCACGTCGCCAAAGACAGGTTTATTCACAAGCACTTGCACTGTGCCCAGTCGTCACTAAGAACATAGAAGCCTGGGTAGGGGCTCTGGGACAGCCATTGTCCCCTTTCCACCCCAAACTACTTCCCTCTGATGAGCTGCAACGGACACATACCGATGGTGACCGCCAGATGGCGGACGCAGGCTACTCCGTGCGACGCTGTCCTGGAAGCGCACTAGGTCGCCTTGGGTGGGTGCACGGGTGGAGTGGCAGTGCCTGCCTGACAAGCAGAAACAGCCCAACAGAGAGAAAAGAAAGAGGTGGGCGTGCTTTGGAAATTCAGGACTATCTGGGTGAAAACATCCAGGTGCACACAAACAGACTCGGGGAGATGCCAAACTGCAGGGGAGGTTGGGGTGGTACTATTCGGGGCTTCCGGGGTGGTGCTAAGCACGCACGCCACCAGCCTGCCTCCAAAAAGCCGAGGCCTCCCACACTACTCCTTCCTCATCGTGTAGCCCTGGATCATGCTGCTGAAGTAGGCTGGCGTGTTGCGCTCGGGGTAGAAGAGGATCAGGTAGCACTTGGGACCAAAGTAGCCCAGGCTGATCCCCAAGAGGTTGAGCACGGTCACAGAGAGGTCCATGAAGGGGACCAGCACCCCCTGGTAGACTGACATGAACGTGCAGAGGGAGATGGAGGAGATGAAGTAGAAGGTCATGCTCAGGGTGATGAACTTGGCCTCGTTATAGTTGGTGGGCAGCTCCTTGCCCACGTAGGCGAAGCCGAAACCCAGCACCGAGAGGACCAGGTCCAGGCTGGTGTTGAACAGCAGGCCTTTGCTGTGGTTCGGGCTGCACGTGAGGATCATGATCTTGGGGTCATCGGGGTCCGTGCGGATGGTGGGGATGACGGACGTGGCCACCAGGTTGCCCGCCACCATGACCACCTTGAGCGCCGTGGCGACGGCCACGAAGACATAGGGCCCGTGGTAGCGGACCCAGTAGCCGTAGGCCCGGGGGAGGCGGCGCGCCATGTTGAAGATGCAGACAATCTGGAAGGAGCGCACGGTGATGCAGGAGATGACCACGGTGAAGCAGAGGGTGAAGAGGGCCTGGCGGCAGAGGCAGGTGAGGAGCGTGGGCGGCCCCACGTACACAGGCACCGCCAGGAAGGCTGCCAGCAGCGGCGTCAGCATCAGGAAGCACATGGGGCCCCCGGCCGAGCGGACCAGCGGGGTCCGGAAGTGTCTCCAGAAGATGACCAGGATGGCCAGCGTGCTGAGGAAGCCCAGCACGGCCAGCGCGGCCACGGCGATGGTGGGCGCCTCCTGCCACTCGAGGAAGGCCAGGCGCTGCTTGAAGCAGGAGATGCTGTTCCTGTGGGACCACTGGTACTTCGGGCAGGGTTGGCAATCCAATTCGTCTGCAAGAGCCACAGCAACGCCCGTCAGCCACACGCACCCCCAGCGCCCCTATCCTGACCCGGCACGAGGCCAGGGGGCCGGGGTTGGAGAGTGACGGCAGGGTTACCCCGCCATGGGCACTGCCAGCACTGACTGAGACCCCGGCCGGCCAAGGCTCACCCAATCCCCACAGCAGCCCACTCCACACGTGAGGAGCTGCCGCTCAGCCAGACTGAGTCCTGTGTCCAACGTCACAAAGCCAAGAAGTGAGCGGGCAGGGTAGGAACTGAAGACTCCTGGACTCAGGGCCCAACGGTGACAACCCCCCTCTTTTCCAAGACATGAGGGACATGCCGGGGGCGGGCTCAGAGAATGCACTCAGCACAATTTCCAGCACCTCCACTCTGGGCGGGGCCAAGGGTGGAAGGAGACAGCGAGATGGATAAAACCCAGGAGAAGTCCGGTAAAATCATTCTGCTCTCTTTGGTTGAGCACCTGCGTGGTGCCCTGTACTCTGCCGGACACACAGTCAGCGCTTTCTCTGGGGGAAGCTATTCATGCACTTCATTCATGAATAATCAGTGGCGCTCTGGGTTGGGAGAGGGGGCATCTGGGTCCAGATTCTGATTGAGGCTCAACTCTAATGTGGACAGAGAAATGACATTGCTCCCACTTTCCAGGAGCTAGCACTGGTAGGGTAGCGGTCACCCATTGGGCTGTTAACTGCATGGTCGGCAGTTCGAAACCACCAGCTACTCCAAGGGAGAAAGAAGAGGCTTTCTGATTCTATAAGGAGTTTCCGGTCTCAGAAATCCACAGGGGTAGTTCTTCCCTCTCCTATAGGGTGGCTGTGGGGTCAGAGTCAACGTGATGGTGGTGGGTTTGGGGGCAGGGGGATATTCAATAAGGAGGATGTCCATTCTTCTCATCAAGGAAGTCACTCAATAAACATTCCACGAGCATCTATTCTGCGCTCTGAACTACAGTAGGTGCTCAGGAGGCCAGAGAGATAAGCAGGGTACTGACCTCTGCTGGTCAGAGACATCCCTCCTAGGGGAGAGCCCTTCCTTGCTTCCTTCCTTCTTCATCATCCAGTGGCTAGTTCCTGACCTAACATGCCCTAGCTATGTGTGGAGCGGGGTGGGGGATTCCGTTTCAGTCCCTGCCCTTGGAGAACGCTCTTCCTTGGCCCTCTCTCCCTCTTAAACCAACCTGCATTGAGGATCTTCCTTGACACCATGTTTGGGGGAGATGTAAGAGAAAACTGACATGAGCCTGTTCCCTAGAAACTTCGTCCCCTGGGGGAAATCAGAGACCCTGCCCAAGGGGAAGGCCCTGGAGACCCGAGGGGCAGGCAGGAGGGAGGGCAGGACACGGTGGTACCTGACTGATTGAGGAAGGAGCCAGGGAGGCAGTCATGGCACTCAAAGCAGCAGGGGTGGATGCCCACGGGCTTCTTCCTCTGGCCGGCCTGGCAGCTCTTGGAGCACACGGACAAGGGGATCTGCAGAAAGGGGGGTGTCAGCCTGAGTGTGCCGCTCCCACAGGCAGGTGATTGCAAGAAGAGAAAGCTGACCACACAACCGGGTAGATGCGTGGGAGCGGCTCTGGGCCCGGCAGGATGCCCAGGAGACAGGGGGCAGAGGGCGGCGAGGGCTGCCCTCCAGAGGCTCATCGGCAGGGCCAGTGGTTGGCCATCGTGGTTCTTGAGTGGGGGTGGGACCCGGCTGGATCGGGGTTGTCGAAAAATAGGGAGACCTGACAAGGCCCAAAGGCCAAGGTGAGGGACACTGTGGTGGGGCCGCTGGACCCCGAGCCCCACCCTTCATGTCTCTCGGAGGTCTGCTGTTGGGTCCCTTCTGGACACGGCTGCTGGATGACATTTTCAGAAGTCCCGCTCTGCTCCCTGCGACTGCTTCATGGAGAAACCGGAGTGATTCTCCGCCAGGCGGAATGAAAAGTCGGATCCCCTGCCAGGACGCCCAGGCCCTCTGTGGTCTTCACTGACCCCCACCACCTCCATCCCCCATGGGACCACACATGTGGGCAGGCATGGGGACAGCGACACACAGCCTTTGTTCAGACCTACACCCTTCCCTCCCTCACCAGGGGCGCTCCCCCTCTTCCAAATGCATCTCCACAGGGGTCCCTACAGAACCAAGCCAAGAACACCTCTTACCTTCAACTCGAAGCCTAGCATGCGCGCATTCATTCCTTCAAACAGTCCCTGCTCCCACCCTGATGTCAGGTCTGGCGGAAATCACAGTGCCCTAAGTGAAGAAAGCCCCTGCGCTCTCGTGGAATTAATATTTTCATGGAGAAAGGGAGACCACCAACAGAGCTCTCGAACACGCCAGATGGTGATGCAAGCCACGAAGGAGAACAGAGGGCCACAAGAGGAAGGAGAGTGATGGGAGCAGATGGCACTACTAAGCGGGAGATGGGCAGGGGGAGTGCCGCGGGGTCACTGGCATGGCAGTCAAGCCCTGAAGGCCGTGAGGGGCAGTGTGAGCAAAGGCCCCCCCCAGGGCAGAGCCCTGGCATGATGGAGGAGGAGCAAGGAGACCGGTGTGCCCCAGCAGAGTGTGCTAGAGGGGAGCGGTCGATGAGCCCATGGGTGCCTGGGCTGTGTCTGGAGGGAAATGAGAAGAAGCCATGGGCTCGGAGTCAAGTGACAGGACCTGAGCTCACGGTGACAGGGTCACCTGTTCTCTGCGGCGAGTGCAGCCTGCCAGAGTCCAGGACGGGAGCCAGGGACCAGGTGGAACTGCGATCATCCAGATGAGAAAAGATAGCGGAGGGAGGGAGCAGTGGGCAGATTCTGGGGGTGTTCTGAAGGGGGGTCGGACGGGCTTCACGGCTGGATTGGATGAAGGCTTTGGGAAAGAAAAGGGTCAAGGGAGGCCTCAGTGCTTGGGGCCTGAGCATCTCGATGATGCTTACACAATCTCATGTCCCCTTGAGGAGATAGGACAGTGGGGGCATGGTCAGATGCCTCTCACCGGTTCACGAGGATGACCACCACTCGTTGGGCAACATGGATAGTGATGAACTTGACTAAGCCCATTTCTGAAGAGTAACGGGGCTAAAAACCTCACTGCAGTGGGTCCAAGAGAGACGGGGCTTCCGTGTTAAGGTGGCAGGTTGAACACTCATCTTTTTGTGTTTCCTCCTGCAATGTCAATAAAATTATAGCTAAAGGGGGATGATTTGAAAGCTATAAAGTCAAAAGAATAGCGAACAGTAAGTCAACAACCAAAAAAATTTTGGAGTCTTTGACTTGGCATGGTTGAGAAACCCTACACATTTAGTTGGCAAAGCTGAGGATAAACCCAACTGTTCTAGACACTTCCGTCTCACCTTACACCTTCCTGGCCCACACTTCACCCCACCCATCGCTATTACAGAAAGAAACTTCATGTAAGTGTGCAGTAACAGATCTGATTTCAATAAAAAAATACCTGATTCTCTGCCCCAGGGTTTCTCCAGCACAGTAGCTTAGCATTCACAGCGTGACTTAAGAATGAGGACATCAACACCCCATGACGAAACCCGTAACCAACAGGGCACAGTGATGCCTCCCTCTTCTGTCCCTCAGAGCCCTGGGGGAGTAGTGGTTAGGCATTGGCTGCGATCCACAAGGTTGGCAGTTCAAAACCACCAACTATGCCTGGCGAGAGCGATGGGGCTTTCTACTCCCGTGGGGAGTCACAGTCTCAGAAACTCGAAGTGGGCAGTTCTACCCTGTCCTATGGGGTCGTGATGAGTCAGCATCAACTCGATAGCAGTGAGTTTGGTTTGGAGGTTTTCTGCCCCCCAGTTCTCAGATGTATTCTACGCGGATCTCCAAAGGTCTCCACAGCCAACAGTGGGTCCAGCTCAAGAAGGCATTGCCTTTCCCTGGTTTCCGTGGTCAGACTCTTCAGCCGCTACTCCTGTGACCTAGCATCACTTCTCAGCGTAAACTCCCTGCACATCAGTTTTATGCTCCTTAGAAGTGAGCATGCTGAGCCCTTGCCTCTTACGTTGGTCACAGTAGCAGGAGGGACCAATCCTTGGAGAAGGCTCTCATTGTTGGTAAAGCAGAGGGTCCGCAGAAAAGAGAAAGACCTTCCACAAGAGAGTCTGACACCGTGGCTGCCACCGTAGATGCAAGCATCCCCACTGATTGTCAGGATAGAGCAGGACTGGGACACAGTTCATTCCGCTGTGTATGCATAATGTCACTACGCGCCTGAGCCAATTGTATGGCGCCTAACTCAACAATGTCCACCTTTGCGTCTCAGGCTCAGCTTTACAAGGTGAACCCAGGCTGGGAGTGGCCCTGGAGAGCCATCTCTTAGAAGGGGGCTCGTGCATCAGCGATAAGAACCTCACCCTTGGTTAAGAGGGGTAGGGATATCCCCTAGCATCCAGTAGCATTGCAATTGCTGACTCTCACCTAGGGTGGACAAGGGAAGGTAAAGTGGTGCCTGATGAAATGCGTGTGGCTTTCGAACAGGATTCACAACAACGGCAATCCCAAGGCCTATGGACGGAGTTGGCTTTGTTCTCTACTTTCTATGGCAGAAGAAGGAGAAACAGTAATGGTGACGGGCACAGGCACCCAACAATCAGTTCCAGGCCCACTATGAGAAGGAGAAAGCATCTCTGACAGCTTCTCCAGAGCCCCTTCTCCTGCAGGGCCAGGAAGCCTGGGATGAAAATCCAAGGGGGGCTTCCCGGGGGGCTGTTCAGTGAGACCGCGGACTAGCATGTCGCTGGCCTGGCATCACCCAAACAAATCAACGGTGGGTGAACAGAAGCTGACGTCAGCTAGCACCGTAGAACGTTGTGGTTCCTCTCTCCAGTTACAGAGCTAAAAGCAGTCACAGCCCCAAAGTTCATTCATCAAAGGGAGGCTTGGCCTTCTTCAGGACCCCACAATACCACGGCAAATATCTATACACATGCATGCAGCAAGTATTTTTCCAGAACTTCCCCCCAAAGAGACATCTATCAGAAGCACCCAGGGAAGGGGGGGTGGCGAGCTCTTCTGATGGCTGTGACACTCGGGGCCTGGCCCACGCTGCGGGAAATGGAAGGCGGTACCGTGATGGTCTCAAAAGGTCCTCGCAGGCCCCCGTTGAGAGGGTGGCTCATAGAGGGCAAGTAAGCCTGGGAGTCTTGGTCCAGGTACTTTTTACAATAGGTCCAATAGGCCCAGGAACTCATGTCATGGATTCTGATCTGATCCCTGAGGGCAAACCCTCATCTGGTTTCCCGACTTGTGAAGCAAGAGCCCTCAGGATACAAATGGCCAAGGGAAAGGCCCTGGAACTTTCTCCCACCCTAGCTAAGAAAAAAAACCAAAAACACCCTGGAGGGAATCTCAAAGATTAGCACCACCATCAAAGACTTCAAAGCTCGGTTCAGGAGCGTGTTCTCCGTCACATTCCCATTTAATTCATCTTGAGGCTTCCGTTCAAAGCACTGTGATGGGGGCTGACATATGACATTGGAGAAGGCGGCCGGAGAAAGGCCTCTGAAAATAAAACCAGTGAGAAAACGGGCCGCGGTCAGAACCCACCGCTCTAGCACCTGGCAGAGAACTGGAGGAAGGCAGCCAGCTGGGGTGCTGATTGAGGGAAATGGTTGAATCAGGGCTGTGGCATTGCCGTTAATCTATTCCAACGGTTCTCAACTTGTGGGTCGCAACCCCTTTGGGGGTGGAACGACCCTTTCACAGGGGTCACCCGATTCATCACAGTAGCAAAATGAGTGATGAAGTCGCAACGAAAATAATGTGATGGTTGGGGGTCACCACCACGTGAGGAACTGTATGAAAGGGTCATGGCCTGAGGAAGGTGGGGAACCCCTGCTCTGTCCCCACCGCCTTTCTCTCCAGGTCTGTGGCGGTCTTAACCAGGATCCTAGCAGCAAGGTGAAAATCAGCATCTTGCAGACCCTGGAGGAGGCGAAAAATGGAATCGAGGTGATTTTGACGCCTGATTCTCAAAGAACTGGCATTATCAGACCTGCCTGGCGGTTCCCTGGAAAACCTCACTAGCAAAGACCTTTATTTAACCCGACTTAGCGCTTTCTCAGTGCAAAAAGCCTTTGTCTCGGGACCTTGTCTACAGCATTTGGAGGCAGTTCTTTAATCTATGGCTGCCTCAAGCAGTGGGCTACACTTGGGGCAGGCAGCACGAGTGTTGTCACGCGGTGCGCATCATGTTGACCCTTCACACAGCACGGTAACGCTCTGCCGGATGCTGTGTCGTCCTCACAGTTGTTGTTATATTTGCTGCCACTGTGTCCACCGTCTCAGGGGGTCTTCCTCTTTCTCTGACCTTCTACTTTCTCAGGCCATGATTTCCTTTCCAAGAACCACTCCTCATTCCTGATAGCAGGGTCGAGGTCCTCCGGACAACCAATAGACTAATTTAAAAGATCAAAAGTAAAATCTGGAGGGGGAGCTGTGCACAGCCAAACGCAACCCATTGCTGCGAATCAATTCCAACT